TGCCTGGGCCGTCCAGCAGAATCCGACGTGTTCCCCCATGCTCCCCCAAGTCCCACCCTGTTGCTGGGCCTTTGTCCGTGCCAGATCCTCAACCAGGAGCACCCTCCTGCCCTCCCCCCCACCCTGGTCTCTCCCTCCTGATCTGGAGCCCCAGGCTGAGCGGAGGACCAGGCCCGAGGCTGGCCACCACGGCCCCCCAGTGCTCAGCCCCTTCACAGCCTCCTCCAGCACTTGTTCGCTTATCTGCCTGCCACCCACCCCTCCCCATCTCTCAAGGGCAAGGGTCCAGGTCCCTCACCTCTAGCTCAGCTCAGCCCCTGGCAAGACCTTGAATTCTCCATGAATGAGAGGAGGAACGATCAGGGAGGAGCCTGAATCATGGTCCAAGACCAGGCTCTCTGTGGGCAGGGTGTGGGGGGTGAGCCGAGGAGGGGGAACCGAGAACAGACCCCGGGGAACTTCCTCCCTTCCCCGTAAGGCTCTGTATCCCGGCAGAGGTTTTAGGGAGTCACAGATCAAAGCCCATCACACTGTAACCTGAGGTCAGGAATGCCGCTGGATGGACCTTTTGTTGTAAGGGGAAAAGACAGGATGTAGAGAGACACTGAAGTCTGGCTCACGACTTAGGAGGTGAAGGGCACTAGCGCGTTTCCCAGCCTAAGTTTCAGACGTCAGACTAGCCAGGTGGCCCGTCGGACAGATGTGGGTCAGAACCAGCGCTAACCGAGGCTGCAAGGACTTACTGTGTTGGATTTTCGTGGGAAAACCCCTCTTACGCCAAGGAGCTGAGCAGCTTCTACTGAATCAATCAGTGTTTTGAACCATGAATCTGCAGGGGCGGGGGTGGAGGGGTATCCGCAGGTCTGAGGTGGGGCCCAAGACGCTACATTTCTAACAAGTCCCTGGGGGATGCCCAGCCCACGCTGCTAGCCCAAGGACCCCACCTGGAATGGCAGGGACCTACCAAGTGACCTCACGTGGCCTCTGTGCCCCTGATCCATCGACCCCCTCCCAGGAGGAGCAGCCTCAGCATCGGCCAGAGAAAGGGATGGGAGGCTGGGACTGACAGGAGCCCCAGGAAAGCCCCGGGAGGCGTAGCCAGCCATAGCCTGGCTCCCCGAAGGACAGATGGGAGGAGCCCCACCCAGACGCCAGGCCAGGCCCAGAATAGCCGTCTGAGTCACGCAGTGGGTGCAGGGCCAGCAGGGGCGGCCGGCCCACTTGGTGACTCAGCACAGGGCAGCGGCCCCACCTGACCCTGCCACGCCAGGCCCAGGCCAACCACTCGCTCGGAGGTCAGGCGCCACCTGACTGCCCGATGGGACAGCAGCAGGAGCCGGACACCCCTAACCTTCCGGGCTCCCCTGGGACTTGAGCCCTGAGCGTGACAGGTACCCATCGCAGCGCCCCCTCGGCAAGTCACAGGCCTCTGGGCCGGGCCAGGAGATGCAGTGCAGCCAACAGCAAATAAAGCTGCAGCCCACATTCAGGAAGCAGACACCGAGCTTCGCCAAAGGAAGAGCAACTTGCCCCAAATCATCAATCTAGCTGACCTCGCCTTACCTGATCCCACCTGCCCCGCCTGCATCCCCACGGCAGCTGTGTGGTTATTCCTCTGCCGGCTTGGTTAGCGGCTGTTTCCCAATGGGACCCAAGCCCCTGAGCAGGTACACGCGAATGATCTATTTCCCAAAGATGGCCAGAACATTACCACTGCCCCCCACCTACCCACCTCGGGCTGCCCCCCTTCTAGAGGCAGGGTCTATGTCTCCCCCTCCCCCATCACACCGGGCAGATCTGTGTGACCGCCCTGACCACGGAGCGTGGCTGCAGGGACACGGTGCGACTTCTGGAACTCGGTCACGAAGTCATACAGTGGAGTGGGCGTCTGTTGTGACGGTTGAGCTCCTGGCTAAGATACCCACATCCCATACCGGGGCGCCTGGCTCAGCCCCAGTGGTTACAAGCATTTGTGGGGAAGAACCAGGGGACGGCAGCTCACTCTTGTCCACCTGTCCACCTCTGTCTCTGGAAAATAAACAAGTGGTGCAGCTTCCGCCTGGTGCTGTCTCTCCCTCGGAACGCTCACTCTAGGACGCCAGCTGCCATGCTGTGGGGAAGCTGGGGCCACACATCAGCTCTGGGTGAGACTCCCACCAAGGGCCAGCATGCACCCCTGGACACCACAGCAGGGCAGTCCCGGCCACCACGTGACTGCTGAAGAGACTGAGCAAGCCCAGCAGGGACCCGCCAGCCCCTAGGACCACCCGACACCGTCATCCACCACTGTAGTCGCCTCACACTACTGTACATTCAGGGTCTGTGATGGGGTAAGAGACGCACCTGTCCCTCGGTCTCCCGGGCTCCCAGGAACCCCCAGGGGCACCCACATGCACAGAGGCCCAAGCCCTCCTGCAGAAGGCAGCACTGTTCGTACCGACCTTGACTCCTCGCTACGTGACGCAGGCTGCCCAACACGACGTGAGCGCCGTGGGGACAACTGCCACGCGGCACGGCTGAGAGCATGGTAGTGAGAAAGGGCCCCTACGTGCTCAGGGCAGGCCAGATGGTGCCCCTGGCCATCTTCCATCTGCTTGGTTGAATCCGCAGCTGCAGATCCCATGGGTACAGAGGGGTCAACTCTAACCCATCACAGAATCCAATCTCCCACAGAACAGGCCGCCCCAAAACGCACCACTTTGGCCAACTGAGCCCGTTTGGGGCTGAAGGTAAGAATCAACACACAGAAAGAGCTCTCTGCTGCCCTCCCCGCACTGCTGCCCTGCTCAAAAGCAGGACACTGACTTCCCTATTTCAAAGCTCCTCTCCACTTCCTCACCCATGCATGGGAGAACCACTGTTACCACGGTGGCACCAGTCTGGGCCCACATGGACTTACCATAGTAAACCATCCTCACCCTCGCTTAGTTCCACATGTATCTGCTGTCTCATGATTTGTCACCTCTGGAAGCCCACCCCCTCCCTTACCCTGGGTCCCGTCTCTTTTTCCACTAATTTATCACCCTTTGTTAAAACGGTATATAGTGGGCTAGTGCTGTGGCATGGCGGGTAAAGCCACAACCTGCACTGCCAGCATCCCACCCGGGCACCGGTTTGAGTCCCGACTGCTCCATTTCTGATCCAGCTCTCTGGTCTGGGAAAGCAGCTGAAAATGGCCCAAGTCTTTGGGCTCCTGCACCCACGTGGGAGACCAGGAAGAAGCTCCTGGCTTCGGATTGGTGCAAGATAGCTGTTGTGGTCATTGGGGGAGTGAACTAATGGATGGAAGATCTCTCTTTCTCTCTGTTTTCTATCACTCTGCCATTCAAATAAATAAATCTTTAAAAAAAAAAAAAACTGTCTCCAAGTCCTCAGACCTCACCATTGCCCCAGGCTTTGTCTTCTCTTCTGTGAGGCCTGCTCCCGAGTCCACTCACAAGCATTTTCTTCTATGAATCTTCTATCAGTTTAATCCACAGGCCCCAGTCACTGAGGCCAAGATGGTAGCAGAAGGGTGTTTCCTCCTTTCAGCTCCACCCATGTCTACTTTGCACACACCCCCCTCCCAGCATCAAACATGGAAACCACAGGTGCTTAGCGCATGTCCACTGAAGGCATCAAGGCACCTCGCGGGCTACGAGCCCAGGGTCTGCCCAGCTGCACCGTGAGGCTCCTCTTCCATCACACTATGCTGCCTCCACCGTCAGATCTAGGGTATGCGTTAGGATCTAACAGCACAATCTCTCCCTTCTTCTTAAGAAAGAAAAATCTCCCTTTCAAGGCTACTGCAAGGTTAGATGGGTGCGCCTCCCACTTTAGCACACACACAAATCCCCTGGAGACCATGTGCAAGTGCAGGTTCCGGCCGAGCGTTTTTGTGTGCAACCCACTCCCAGGTGGTATCGACACTGCCAGCTAGGGGCCCCACTTGGGGTAACGGGGGTCTGAACGAGATAAAAGGCTTCTAATACACCGAGGCGTATACTTAAAAATGGGTAAGATGGGAAATCTTACGTTCTATATATAATAATATATATAATAAACAGATAAAATTTTTAGAGAAAAAGCATTAGCGTTTTGCCAGTGGTCCTGCAGGTCTCCAAGTGTGATCTCCCCACTTCTTCCCTGTTAATACGAGAGGAGGCTGAAGGCAGCCAGGGAGCTTCACCTGCCATCCCAGGCCCCGGGCAGACCTCTCCCTTCTCTGAGAAGGAGAAGGTTTACTCTGTGCCTCCCCGACAACACAACAGCAGCAGCAAATGGGCAGGAGGGCCACCACATGCCAGGCCCTGGGGCAGGCACAGAGGTTGTGGAGTGGTCTCTGCCTCCTGGGGTTCAGAGCCCAACACAAAAAAAGCTGTCACTCAGCTCAGAGCCCGCCCTGGAGCAGGTCTTACCCAAGAGAAGCCACCCGACTCTGCCAATCACCCAATCCCGCGTTCAGATCTGCGCCTGCACCTGCCCCAGGCACTCTCCTCCCTGTGACTCAGTTTCTTTGTCTAAAATGGGAAAAGCAATTCCACCAATTCTATCAGGGCTGGTGTGAGGATTGAACACGACAGGCTGAGCAGGAAGCACTAGGCACAGCCCTGGGATTCTTAGCCGGACCACAGTGGGCATCTCCTAATGGCCCACTCCCCTCCCTTGCCGGCCACGGGAAGAACGAGCCCTGGAAAAGGCAGACAACACCAGGAGGCCAGAAGTCAGAGCGCGCGCACACACGCATGCACACACACACACACACGTGGGCACACACACGGGCACACATACACACACACACGGATACACGCGATCTCATCAATGGCCTGCGAACTTCTCTGGCTCTGTTCCTCCCGGAGGAGCCCACACTGGCACTCGGGTTTCTGAATTCTCCCAGCTGGCGCCAACTCCCTCCGCCCCAAATGCCGACGCACCTCAAGCGTTCTCCGCACCCACAGCGAGCGACAGGGAGACAGCAGCTGACAAGTGCTCCCACCCCCCTGCAGCGTGGGGTTACTTACGGGGTCATTGATGGTTTCTGAGAACAGGGGTGAGCGGTCTGAGAAACAGGACAGTACAAGCTGGGCCAGGACGAGGCAACAGTAGATGTAGAAGGTGACATCACGGAACAGGTCCACATGGGCGTCCTGGGGGGATGAGGGAAGCAGAACTGATGGGTCCCGGGAGTGGGCTGAGGGGGCTGGGCCATGGTCTGTCCCCCCAGAGCTCCTGTAGAGGCTGGACCCTCAGAGCCTCGTGGGGATGGCGGCTGGAGGCCATTGGTAGAGGAGGGCAAGAGGGCGGGGCAGCCCCAGTCTGCACCCATGCTCTGTCTCGCTACCTTGGGACTCGGGGTCCAGGGCCGGCCCCTTGACCTTGGACCTCAAGGACTCCAGACTCGTGACCTGAGCAAACCTCGGTGCTTTGTGAACTGCCCAGTCATCCCAGTGCTGGGAGGGCTGGCTGCAGCCCCAGTCATGGCCATCTGGCCTCCTCCCCTGGGACAGAAGAAAGGCCACCACATCACAGCAGGCAGCACCACCCACTATGGCCCATGGAGGGTGCCCTGCGATGAGCAAGGGAGTCAGGAAAGGGGAGTGAGACAGCTGCATGCAAGGCCTGGCTCTGCTCTGCTGGCAGCGGCTGTGGGGCCTGGTGTCACCTTCTTTCTCCTCTTCCTGCCTCAGTTTCCCCACCCACAAACAGTCCAGTCATCCTCAACTGATTCTGCCTCCCTGGGAACATGTGGCAGTGTCAGGGGACTCTTCTGTGGTAACTTGGGGGCAGGGGCGGAGGCCAGGAAGGGGCCTGACATCCCACAGAGCACAAGACGAGGGGCCGGCACCTTGGTGCAGCGGGTTAAGCACCTGCAATGCCGGCATCCCCTATGGGCACCGGCTCTAGTCTCCCGATCCAGCTCCCTGCTAGTGCATCTGGAAAAGCACTGGAGGATAACCCAAGTGTTTGGGCCCCTGCACCCACGTGGGAGTCCTAGATGGAGTTCCAAGTTTCTGGCTTCAGACTGGCCAAGTCCTGGCCATTGCAGCTATTTGGGGAATGAACCAGTGATGGAAGACCTCTCTGTCTCTAATTCTGTTTTAAATAAACAAAATGAATCTTAAAACAACAACAAAAAACACAAGACGAAAAACATCTCTAGCCCAAAACATCAATTAGTGCTGAGGCTGAGAAATCGCAGTAATACTGGTGAGAAGTCGAAAGACCTATTCATAAAACCACTCAGGCCCAGCCCACACCAGCCACCAGCGGCCGTGGCGACTGAAGACAGCTATGCTGTGCACACCGCGCAGCTCACGAAACATTTGCTCCTCTCCCTTCCTCTGCCTCCTGCCAGCCCCTGATAAGCCCCGGCACGCAGGGCACAGCAGGCTGCATCCTCAAAGCGCACACACATCCAAATTCCTAGGAGCCACGCGCGGCAGCCAAGTCAACAACTTCTCCAGCCAGAGTGGTGGCTGACGGCACAAAGGTAACCTGAGGACACGTCCAGACTGCCCTGGGTACACGGCCACTCTGCAAACGTGGCTCCTTCCCGGGAGCCGGCCTGGCCACGTTCTGCGGCCAGAGGCTCAGGGCACAGTGCTGTGTCGCCCCTGGGTCCCTCACAGCTGCCCTGCCAAGTGGGGCTTGGAGGAAAGAAGGTTCTAGAGCAAAGCTGGAGCTGACCTGGTGAGGACTGGGTGGGCCGTCCCATGGCTCCCACGGCATCCGGCCCACCCAGGAGAAGGCCACTACTTACCTCTTTTAAGGCAGTCATGGTTTTGGATCTCAGGATGGCCAGGGCACACAGCAGGGCTATGAGCCAGAATGTGAGCAGGATCCCTGAGGACTGAACCCCCTTCCTTCTCTCGAGCTGTATTAAGAAGGTAGCAAGCAGCTGGAAGAGACGGGCACAGACACACAGCTGTTAGAGGGAGGCCCTCAAGCCCCCACAGTCCCAGGGTCCTGGGAGCACGGGAGGCTGGGGAAAGGACAGAACTTGGCTCGGGGGTGTAAGAGCTGCCTGCGGGCAGCCCAGCTCCCGTGCCAGTCACAGGACCTGAGCCTCCACTGTGCCACATGTGCTGTGTGGCCTTGGGCCAGCTCCTCCACCTCTCTGACCCACGACTGGCTTATCTCCAACATGGGGGATGAGTGCATGGGTAAGAAACAAGGACGGTGCCTACTGCAGACACTGTGTGGTGCGTGAAGGCTCATGGGACACCCCCCCATCCCCCGGCCAGCCCAGTCCCCCGTCGCTGGCACATCCCCGCCTCCCCCAGAGGCTCCAGAGCACAACTGGTCCTCCTTCCCACACGCTCCCTTCCACCTTTCATCACCACCCCTCCCTTGGACAAATAAACGGCTCTCGGTGCTCAGAAGGTGCCGCCTCCCGCTTCCTCCCACCTTGTTTAATAACACTCGAGAACTTGCCCAGTTCCTCAGGGAGGCTCAGAGCTCAGACACGGGGACAGCCCTGAATCCACAGTGCCCTGTGACCAAGGCTGCACAAGGCGGGAGCTAAGAGCATGACCGCCGGGTCCCTGGGGGTAGTATGACCCTTGCTCATGTGCCTTACTTCCCTCGCCTGTGAGATGGGGACAGGGCTGTCCCGAGAAGCCAATGAACTTCTGGAGCTAACAACATTCAGAACCTGGCCAGGCGCATGGTGACCACTCGCCCCACGTCAGCCGTCACCGTCTGGAGGGACCCACTCAACCGGGGACCCTCCTGCTCAGTCCTACCCCACAGCCCGAAAGCTTCCAGACATGCCTTAGGTACTCAACAAGTGTGGTTGGAGATGGCACCTGCCATTCAGCCTCGGAGGCAGGGAGGGCAATAAGGCACAGTGGGGACCAGGGAAAAGTGGACAGCCCATGCCTTGGCTGATGGCTGCCCTGAAAAACTGTGTCCAGCACCACCAGATCTCAGGGTTTTCAAGAGAAGTCAGGTTTTACCGGGAGATCCTCTCCTTTCTAAATGCCAGCTACTCCTGTGGGTCTCCTTGGTGCCTGGCAGGTGGCCGAGAGGGGCCCCTACTTACCATGGTGATGCCCAGGAGGGTTGGGCTGACCAGCAACACCGGGGCCAGGAGCGTGCCCTGACTTCTTTCCCAGAAAGAATAGAAGAGGTCTCCCCAGCAGATGATCCACAGCAAGAACCCCAAGGCCTGCAGGGAAGCAAACGAGGTCTCAGAGGGGCAGCGAGGAGCCGTCCTCGGGGAAGCAGCTGCACCTCGGAGCTGTGCGCCACAGCTCTCCTGGAACACGGCCAAGGCCCAGGGCGAGGAGACACCTGAGCATTCATTCGCCCGGCTGCAGGCAGCGAGCCATGCCCACAGGCCGGCTGGCTGCTGTTCCTGCAGCAGCTGCAAACCCAAGAGCTCGGCCTGCAGCCCCTGCACGCTGAGGTCCCCACACAACCACCACTCATCCAGCCACGCTCATGCCACCGATGCTCAGGAAGGTGCCGGGGACACCACAGCGACCAGAGTCCCCACCTTCCTGGAGCCGACATTCTAGCAGCAAGAAACACGCTGAAAATTACCTAAGACCATGTCAGAGAGCAGACAGGACTCTCCGGGTAAGAGGGAGGGGTGGGGGAGGCCTCTCTGAGCAGGCGAGGTTGGAGGGAGGAACGACTGAGGCAAAGGGAATGGGAAGTGCAAAGGTCCTGGGACAGACGGAAACACGCTCGGAGGGCTTGTCGCTGCTGTGGAATCAGCGACGAGCGTGGACGACAGGCGTGGGCGGACAGCCTGGAGCTGACAGCGCGGGGCTGCGGGAGGACCTCTGGAAGCTCCCGGAGAGTATCTGAGCAAGGCGAGGGGAACACCCCATCTGCATCTTAGAGAAGACACTGCTGCCCAAGAAACGTACCGAGAGCTTCCCCGGGTCTGAGAGCAAGACATTACACGGATAGTAAGAGAGAGGACATTTCTTTTAAAAGCCAAAAAGCAGCTTTGGGGTCATAGAACAACCAAGGGGATGGTGTGAGAGCTCCCGTCTGCCCTGCCCCTACCCAGGCCTCTCCCCACCAGCTTCCAGCAGCATGGGCGTGACCACGCACTGTCGCATGGTCATCACCAGGCAGGGGCGCACACGCGAGGACACGGGCCGTCCCTGCACTCCACCTTGTCAGTTCCCATCCCCCACCCCGTCCTCAGCTGCTGCGGTGCCCAGAGCGTGGCCTCTTCCACGGTGGCATCAGTGGGAGCCAAGGGGACAGCCCAGAGCCTGCTCTGATGGGCTTCTTTGACTTGGTGACACCCATTTAAAGGTCCCCGTGGCCCTGCAGCACTCGGCTACTCTGTGTCTTCTGGCACTGCACAGTCTCGCCTTACGTCTCTGCCCAGGATGGCGACCACATCGCCGGCACGGGCATGCTGGGACTGGACACGTGCGCTGGGAGGCCGCCCCTGTGCTCTGGATTTGGGCCATTCCCCTTGGGGTGCACTGGGTCTCAGGCTGCTTCCATCTGCCTGGTAGATAACGTCTTAAGATAGGCTTGAACTGTAGTAGGAACCAGGCAGGTTTGGGCAGGTGTATGAGAGGCGAAGGGCTTCGGCACAACCACCGCAGGGTGCAAGGAAATGAGTCCCGGACGACGGCTTCAAAAAGAACCAACAGAGGCCGGCACTATGGCACTGTGGGTTAACACACACTGGCCTGAAGCGCTAGCATCCCATGTGGGCGCCGGTTCTAGTCCCGGCTGCTCCACTTCCCATCCAGCTCTCTGCTATGGCCTGGGATAGCAGTAGAAGATGGCCCAAGTCCTTGGGCCCCTGCACCTGTGTGGGAAACCTAGAAGAAGCTTCTGGCTCCCGGCTTCAGATCAGTGCAGCTCCAGCTGTTGCAGCCATCTGAGGAGTGAACCAGCGGATGGAAGATCTCTCTGTGTCTCTACCTCTTTCTGTAATTCTTTCAAATAAATTTAAAAAAAAAATTTAAAAAAAAAAGAGAACCAACAGGGGCCGGCACTATGGCACAGCAGGTAAAGCCACTGCCTGCAGTGCCAGCATCCCATATGGGTGCTGGTTCAAGTCCCAGCTGCTCCACTTCCAATCCAGCTCTCTGCTATGGTCTGGGAAAGCAGTGGAGAATGGCCCAGTGCTTGGGCCTCTGCACCCACATGGGAGACACAGAAGAAGCTCCTGGCTCCTGGCTTCAGATCGCCCAGCTCCGGCTGTCGTGGCTATTTGAGGAGTGAACCAGCAGACAAAAGGCTTCTCTTATTCTCTCTCTCCCTCTGTAACTATGCCTCTCAAATAAGTAAATGAATCTTTTTAAAGAAAGAGAGCAAAAGAACAGAGATCATCAGGATTGCCTGGACATTCAGGTTGACTCCATGCAACCTGTGAAAGAGCCGGTGAAAGGGGTTGCTCTTGAATCAAACACTGCAAGCTTTATTTGTAAGTTGAATTTAAAGCCTGCAGAAGGGGCAGGCACTGCGGCGCAGTGGGTTAAGCCTCTGCCTGCAGCACCAGCATCCCCTATGCACTTGGGCTGGAGTCCTGGCTGCTCCACTTCTGATCCAGCTCCCTGCTGGTGCACCTGAGAAAGCAGCAGAAGATGGCCCAAGAGTGTGGGCCCCTGAACCCACATGGGAGACCCGGAGGAAGCTCCTGGCTCCTGGCTTTGGATCGACTCAGCTCTGACCACTGCAGCCATTTGTGAGGTAAACCAGCAGATGGAAGATCTCCCACCCTCTCCCTCTGTAACTCTACCTCTCAAATAAATAAGTCAATGCATAAAAGACACCTGCATCCCGCAGCAGAGTGCCCGGGGCTCCAACGGCTCTGACTCGGGAGGCAGCAAGTGGTGAGTGGCAGGAGTGATGGGCTCCCCCCAACCCACGCAGGAGACCTGGACCGAGCTCCCAGTTCCCAGCCTTGGCCACTGAGGGCATCTGTGGAGTGAACCAGGGGACGGCAGGCACTCTGCCTGTCTCTCAGATAAAAACATAAAACAAACAAAAAGGAAGACCTTTTCAATAGTCTCCCGATAGTCTCTCCAGAAAGAGCCTACCATCCCCATGGCACAACTCGGGAAACCAAGGCTGGGGGAGGTGAGAGCATCTGCTTGGGGGTGACGCAGTGGCCAGAGGCAGGGGTGAGGTTCGAGTCCAGGTTCCGCCCACCGCACTCTCCGCCTGTCTCTGAGGAGAGGGAACTTAGGGCCATGCCCAGCTCCCCAGTAAGCCCCACCCTGACCCCTTACCCCCCATCCCGGAGACTTACAGTTTTGGCTTTGTTGAGATGCGTCATCTGAATGTAGCCCCGGTCATGTTGGGAGAGGTGGAGGAAGTAGAAGGGGAAACAGGCCCAGAGGTAGAAACAAGGCACCCACATGAGGACCGTGTTCTGAAAGCACTTGGTGAAGTCGGGGTTGCTGGTGTACCACGTGACATTCCAGTCCTGCAGGCACAAACACAGGAGATCCCGCACCGTGAGCACCTCTCAGGAGGAGCATGGGAACTCTGCGGAGCGCTGGCCAGAAACCCAGAGAAAACAAGTCCTGGGGGACAGAGGGACCCAACCAGACAAAGGCCCAGAGCCTGCGGCACAAAAGACGGAATCCCATTTAAAGGAAGCCCAAGGAATGTTCTCTTGCAAACCAAAGGTTTCCTTTAGGTGCATGCGGCCTCCTACCTTCCTAGCTGTCACTCAAGGACTCACCTTGTTCCCTACCATCATCATCATCACCACCACTGTGGGTAACACCTGAGGGCCAGGTCCTAGAAGTGTTGCAGCAGACGGCGGCACAAGTGCGTGGGTCCCTGCTACCGACACTGGAGACCAGGATGGAGTTTCTGGCTCCCATCTTCCATCTGGGCCAGACCCAGTTGTCGGGGGCATTTGGGGAGCAAACTAGTGGACGCAAGATCTCTCTCTCTGGGCATTTAGGGAGTGAATCGTGCATGGAAGATCTGCCCCCTCCCCGACCGCCTCTGACAATCTGCCTTTTTTTTTTTTTTAAAGAGTTATTTATTTTATTTGACAGTCACAGTTACACAGAGAGAGGAGGAGAGGCAGAGAGAGAGAGAGAGAGAGAGAGAGAGAGAGAGAAAGGTCTTCCATCCATTGGTTCTCTCCCCAATTGGTCGCAACAGCTGGAGCTGTGCCAATCCGAAGCCAGGAGCTCCTTCCAGGTCTCCCACATGGGTGCAAGGGCCCAAGGGCTTGGGCCATCTTCTAGTGCTTTCCCAGGCCATAGCAGAGAGCTGGATCAGAAGTGGAGCAGCTGGGACATGAACCGGTGCCCATATGGGATGCCGCCACTGCAGGCAGTGGCTTTACCTGCTATGCCACAGCGCCAGCCCCTCAAGCATTCTTTAAAAAAATTAGATTAGCTGCCAACAGTTAAAAACATGTCATAAAAACTGGATTTTTTGGCTTCTCTTTGAAACCTGGAAAGTGGGGGCTGGCGTCATGGCCCAGCAGGTTGAGCTGCCACCTGCAACTCTGGCATCCAATACTGGAGCGCCCGTTCCAGCCCTGGCTACTCTGCCTCCGACCCAGCTCCCTGCTAATGTGCCTGGGAGGCAGAGGAGGATGTCCCTGTTAGCTGGGCCCTGCACCCACGTGGGAGATCTAGAAGAAGCTCCTGGCTTCGGATTGGCTCAGCTCCAGCCATTGTGGCCATTTAGGGAATGAACCAGCAGATGGAAGATCTCTGTTTCTCCCTCTAACTCTGCCTCTCCAATAAATAAATCTTTAAAAGCAAAAAAGCAAAGAGATGACACAAGTGATCCAAGTACATGTGCCATGCATTCCAGTAAAGGGATCTAGTTACACACAAAAACAAACACATGGACCAGCAGTGAACTTGAAAACAGTTAAGGTCAGTACAGGTTTTTTTTTTTTTTTAATAGTCTGACTTCTAAAAACAAGAAGGAGAAGTGAGTATTTGGCATAGCAGTTAAAATGCCAGCACCCCATGAATGTCTGGATGTAATACCTGCCCCTTGGGGCCGGCACTGTGATGCAGAGGGTTAACGCCCTGGCCTGAAGCACCGACATCCCATATGGGTGCCAGTTCGAGACCCGGCTGCTCCACTTCTGATCCAGCTCTCTGCTATGGCCTGGGAGAGCAGCAGAGGATGGCCCAAGCACTCGGGCCCCTGTACCCATGTGGGAGACCTGGAAGAAGCTCCTGGATCCTGGCTTCTGATTGGCGCAGCTCCGGCCGTTGCAGCCAGTTGGGGAATGAACCAGTGGATGAAAGACCTCTCTCTCTCTCTGCCTCTCCTCTCTCTCTGTGTAACTCTTTCAAATAAATAAATAAATCTTTAGAAAAAAAAAATACCTGCCCCTGGCTCCTGACTGCAATCCCCTGCTCAGGCACACCTGGGAGGCAGCAGGTGACGGCTCAAGTACTCGGGTCCCTGCCACCCATGTGGGAGACCTGGATGCACATCCCAGCTGTGGGCTACAGGCTCAGGCATTTGGAGAGTGAACCAGTGGAAGGGAGTACTCACTCGCTAAGCTGTCTCTCGAATAAATTGATTTAAAAAACTTTTTAAAGAGGTAAGGAGAGGGAAGCAGGTCCCTGAACTACTTTGTTAGAGCAGAGATGGCCACACAAGGCCCTCGAAATCATCTGGTCTGGCCCTGCCAAGGCAACCGCAGGGAGCACTCGAAATCCAAATACGTCTCTAGCAGGCTAATTTTTAAGCTGATAATTTTGTGTGGCCTGCAAACAATGTTATAAATAACCAAATGGCCCTTGGCAGAAGAAAGGTTCCCCAGCGCAACTATTCTACGACACAAAGTTATTTCTCCAGAACCAAGAACAAAGACTCACTAATGAATAATCATCGCAAGGCCAACACACACACACACTCAGCTCAGAAGTACTCAGACACAAAGAAACCCCAAAAGGACGAAGTGCACGCCTTCTGGAAGACAGCCTTGTAAGTAAGAACTCCATCAAAGACCGAGTCTCCGAGTGGGTTTCACACCACTGGTAATCCTGGAGGTGATGCTTGAGAGAGGTTACACTGTGGGTGGTTATTAAGGGCTAAAGAGTTTCTGAGCAGATGCCAGAAAAAGCTCATTCCAAAGGAATTTGCCCCTCGAGAGAAAACAATTCTGGGGCTCACTGCACGCGGTCACAGACACAGCAACAGCTCGTATGGCAGACGCTCCAGTAATGGAAGCTGGCCCCAGTTACTCCTCGTCTGGACCTCTGCCACAGCGTCCCAATACCTCCTCTTCCACCCTCTCAGGTCCCACTGAGTATAAAGCCAGAGTAACCCACACCCACACACAGATCTGTCTGCCCACCCATCCATCCACTTGTGCAGCACTCACCTGCCTACCCATGAGTGCACCCATCCATCCACCTATGTAGCCACCTGCCCATCCACAAACCCATCCACCCATCCACGTGTCTACGCATCCGTGGGCCCACCCATGCACCCATCTATCTACCTGCCTATCCACCTATCTACCTACACATTTATCTATGTCTCTTTTTTTCTCTTTATGTTATTTTTTAATAGACAACACATGTATATGCTAAAACTTTTCAAACTACACAGAAAGGTATATAGTGAAAAGTCTCCCACCCCACTCACAGGCAAGCTACCATTGCTAATGTCTTACACACAGGAACTCACATTCAAACACACAAGAGGTCTTCAAGCTCAAGGCAATTCATATTATGAAAAAAAAAAAAAAAAAAAAAAGCTGGGTAGGGCCAGCACCGTGCAGCAAGACATGTCGGAGTTTCTGGTTCAAGTCCCGGCTGCCCTGCTTCCTGCTAATCCACCTGGGAAGGTAGTGGATGGTGGCCCAAGGGCTTCAGTCCCTGCCACATAGGGGAGGGCAAAATAGAGTTCCTGGCTCCTGGCTTCAGCCTGGCCCAGCCCTTTCTGTTGCAGCCACTTGGGAAATGAACTAGCAGATGGAAGTGTTTTCTCTCTCTCTCTCATGCTTTGTCTTTCAGATAAAAATAAAAAATAAACCTTTTAAAAAAATGTATAGATCTCAAAACCTTTTTGCATCAAAATAAGCTTGTCTTTTCATTCCATTTTCCGCAACCCATTTGAAAGACCTTGTTTTGCTTTCCCAAAAGGCACCACAACCTGCACTAGGTTCTGTAGCTTGCTTCATTCAATAGCGTTGGAAACCGATCTTTATCAGCAACACAGACCTTCCTCATTCTTGTTCTCCTGGACCAAGGAGCAGAAGGGGCAAGCCTTCTTCCCACCCCATTTCCTAGCCCTCACCCAACCCTGTCCTCTCCCCAGGCAACAACCATTACTGGCTTCTTGGGCGCCGTTCCAGAAAACAGTCTATGGCAGGTAACAAAAACAAACACGGAGTGGAAGGCAGCTTCATCTGTACCTTACTTTAAATCATACAAAACGGCTTCCTCATTCTTGTAATCCACCATACAGGTGCATCTGACTTTAATCGGTCCCCTGCTACCTTGGCACCTGGGTTGTTCTCGCAAACAAGGCAGCACTGGGTAAATAACCTGGGGAGGTGCCTCGTTTCACGCACAAGCGCGCCTGTGTGTAAGAACACTTGCTACAAGAGAGCCTGCTGGGGCATGGAGCACACGCACTTTAGATTTAGATAAATGCTCTGCCCTGGTGGTACCAGTAGCTTACACTCCATATAGCCAGAGCCAAGCACCACCGTCTACAACACGCTTACACCTGCCCATCTGACAGCAGAAAATGCCTCGCTGTGGAGTACAAGATATCTGTGTGTTTAAGAGCAGCCTGCTGGGCCGGCGCCGCAGCTCACTAGGCTAATCCTCCACCTAGAGGCGCCGGCACACCGGGTTCTAGTCCCGGTTGCCCCTCTTCCAGGCCAGCTCTCTGCTGTGGCCAGGGAGTGCAGTGGAGGATGGCCCAAGTGCTTGGGCCCTGCACCCCGTGGGAGACCAGGAGAAGCACCTGGCTCCTGCCTTTGGATCAGCGCGGTGCACCGGCCGTGGCGGCCATTGGAGGGTGAACCAATGGCAAAGGAAGACCTTTCTCTCTGTCTCTCTCACTGTCCACTCTGCCTGTCCAAAAAAAAAAAAAAAAAGCAGTCCGCTTCTCCCGCTGAGAGGAAAAGGCATGGACTTGGACACGCACATCAACAAATGAGACAGACCTGACTGTGCCTCTCCCGGGGGGGGGGGGGGGGGGAACAACTTGCAGTAGCTCCCTACTGCCTTTTAGGACCCGATCCTGGTCTCGGCCCCTGAGGCTTCTATGACTGCCCATTCCTCCACGTGCCAACTCAGCTCGGGCACGTCCTCAAAGGTGCATTTTAGCGAGTCTGTGTTGGACAGTGTTCCCGGCGCAGGAGACCGAGAGCCATGGTCCCCACACACAAGGCAGCGAAAGGGACAGTTCTTCAGTCAGCTGGGGCTAGACCCTCACTCTGTGATGTCTTTCTGCTTGAACACCTCC